CTTAAAAATCCAATTAACACAGCAGTAGTGACTTTGATGTTGTTTTACCCTCTTCTCACATCTTCTCTGGCGGGGTTTGGGAGACAGGGAGACAGGCTTTGACTTGGCTGTCACCAGCCTCTCACTCACTGCTAGATGTGCTTTGTATTATAATGAAGTGATTTAGGCTGGAATGCAGTAAATTAATTATACATCCGAAAGGCTGTCCGCACTGAACCCAAATTAGAATTCCTCATGGTGGGGAGCGAGGACTGAAGGGAGAGGAAAGGGGAGGCCATGGGGTGGGTTTGAGATTAAACAGCTTTAAAAATGAATGATGCAGAGACGTGTAAGTGTCACTGATGTCTCTTGTGTCACTGGAGCAGACAGCGGGGTAGTGTTCAGCTTCAACATGATGTGTGATGAATTGATAATCGGTATGACATATCTATTTCCATCTACTTTCATTGGATTTATTTTTATTCTTATGTTTGACTGTAAGGGATAAATAGTGTCATATACAGTTTGTACCCCATATTCTGCCCCTGGGTAGAAGTGAAAGGGATAGAACATTCTCCATCATGCTGTTAATAGTGAATGGAGAACCATTCCACCATCAAGTGCTAAACAGAAATCCATGAAAGCCCCAATGTTTAGACTACATCAAGATGTAATCGCTCACACTGTTTAGCTGCAGCACATCAAAGTGACACAGAAAATTGATAACATTTTGACCCTCTTTGGATGTCTGTCCCCCTCCGAGCACTGTGACGCATTGGCTAACCCTTTCTCTAATTTCTCAATAACATTGGAGAGCTGTCCGGTTGTAAAAATCAATCTGGCACCTGGACATGTTTTTAAAAGGCAGGTCATTAAACCACAGCAATTTAAGCCAATCAGCAGCCTAACATATAGTGTTTTGTTGCTTCATTCTCCTGTACTTAAGAGTCTAAATCCCTGGGGAAAGGTTTGACCTATGACCTCTACATCACCTACCAATCAGAGAAGGCAAAGAGGGATACGGTTGATGCTCAAACTAGGAGTAGCAGTAGGTGTGGGTATTAAAGTACCAATATCCACTTCAAATACTCATTCAAGTTTACATTTTAAGCTCTATGGGATACCTCTATTCAAGTTGTTCAACTGAACATCATGTTTTCTTGGTATAATCTGTACTTGGGGTGGGTACCTTAGAGTTCCTGTAAATAATAGGACTACTGGTATCTATGTTACAACTACTCCATTCTACCTATTCCATTTCTATTGGCTCACCACAATGGGAACACTGGCTGCGTCTGAAATGGCACCCTATTCCCCATATAGTGCACTACTTTTGACCAAAGCCCTATGTGCCCTGGTCAAAAGTAGTGAACTGTATAGGCAAAGGGTGCTATTTCAGACGCAGCCAATGACTGCTCCATCCTCACCAGGTCCAGTTGTTATGATGGTTAGCCTATCAACATCACCAATAGGTCCTGGGCTATTTCTACGTCAGCAACACACCCCCACCCCACCCCGCCCACACACACACGCACACACACTACGTCAGCAACACCTACCTATGCCACCACACCTTCAGTTCAGCACCATGTCTGCCTGTCAGAGAGCAGCAGCACTGACGCAACATCTCATTACGTAACAGCATAAGTTAGGGAAGCAGAGCTTTCATCACGCATGGGAGACTTCACTTCTTTCTTTTGCCTTTGAATTATTCAACTGAGCTTGTTAGAGTTTTTATTTTATTTATTTATTTTATTTAACCTTTATTTAATTTAGAGTTACATGGCTTCTTCTCAGTGGATGTGGCAGAGATGGAAGCTGAGGGTCAAATGGGGTATGGTAAACCTTTATGGTGCTCCTGTCTAGTAATAGATAATGAGTAGATAATGAATAAGGCAGTTATTAAAACTCTATTACTATACCTTAATATGTAGCTCAACTGGTAGAGCATGGCGCTTGCAACCCCAGGATAGTGGGTTTGATTCCCTGGACCACCCGTATGTAAAATATATGCACGCATGACTATAAGTCGCTTTGAATAAAAGCGTCTGCTAAATGGGCTCCCGAGTGGCGCAGCGGTCTAAGGCACTGCATCTCAGTGCTTGAGGCGTCACTACAGACCCCCTGGTTCGATTCTGTATCACAACTGGCCGTGATTGGGAGTCCCATAGGGCGGCGCACAATTGGCCCAGTGTTGGCCCCAGTGGGTTTGGCCGGTGTAGGCCGTCATTGTAAATAAGAATTTGTTCTTAACTGACTTGCCTAGTTAAATAAAGTTAAAATAAAATGCCATATATTATTATACACTGCTCAAAAAAATAAAGGGAACACTTAAACAACACAATGTAACTCCAAGTCAATCACACTTCTGTGAAATCAAACTGTCCACTTAGGAAGCAACACTGATTGACAATGCTGTACACATGCTGTTGTGCAAATGGAATAGACAACAGGTGGAAATTATAGGCAATTAGCAAGACACCCCCAATAAAGAAGTGGTTCTGCAGGTGGTGACCACAGACCACTTCTCAGTTCCTATGCTTCCTGGCTGATGTTTTGGTCACTTTTGAATGCTGGCGGTGCTTTCACTCTAGTGGTAGCATGAGACGGAGTCTACAACCCACACAAGTGGCTCAGGTAGTGCAGCTCGTCCAGGATGGCACATCAATGCGAGCTGTGGCAAGAAGGTTTGCTGTGTCTGTCAGCGTAGTGTCCAGAGCATGGAGGCGCTACCAGGAGACAGGCTAGTACATCAGGAGACGTGGAGGAGGCCGTAGGAGGGCAACAACCCAGCAGCAGGACCGCTACCTCCGCCTTTGTGCAAGGAGGAGCAGGAGGAGCACTGCCAGAGCCCTGCAAAATGACCTCCAGCAGGCCACAAATGTGCACGTGTCTGCTCAAACGGTCAGAAACAGACTCCATGAGGGTGGTATGAGGGCCTGACGTCCACAGGTGGGGGTTGTGCTTACAGCCCAACACCGTGCAGGACGTTTGGCATTTGCCAGAGAACACCAAGATTGGCAAATTCGCCACTGGCGCCCTGTGCTCTTCACAGATGAAAGCAGGTTCACACTGAGCACATGTGACAGACGTGACAGAGTCTGGAGACGCCGTGGAGAACGTTCTGCTGCCTGCAACATCCTCCAGCATGACGGGTTTGGTGGTGGGTCAGTCATGGTGTGGGGTGGCATTTCTTTGGGGGGCCGCACAGCCATCCATGTGCTCGCCAGAGGTAGCCTGACTGCCATTAGGTACCGAGATGAGATCCTCAGACCCCTTGTGAGACCATATGCTGGTGCGGTTGGCCCTGGGTTCCTCCTAATGCAAGACAATGCTAGACTTCATGTGGCTGGAGTGTGTCAGCAGTTCCTGCAAGAGGAAGGCATTGATGCTATGGACTGCCCGCCCGTTCCCCAGACCTGAATCCAATTGAGCACATCTGGGACATCATGTCTCGCTCCATCCACCAACGCCACGTTGCACCACAGACTGTCCAGGAGTTGGCGGATGCTTTAGTCCAGGTCTGGGAGGAGATCCCTCAGGAGACCATCCGCCACCTCATCAGGAGCATGCCCAGGCGTTGTAGGGAGGTCATACAGGCACGTGGAGGCCACACACACTACTGAGCCTAATTTTGACTTGTTTTAAGGACATTATATCAAAGTTGGATCAGCCTGTAGTGTGGTTTTCCACTTTAATTTTGAGGGTGACTCCAAATCCAGACCTCCATGGGTTGATAAATTTGATTTCTATTGATAATTTTTGTGTGATTTTGTTGTCAGCACATTCAACTATGTAAAGAAAAAAGTATTTAATAAGATTATTTCATTCATTCAGATCTAGGATGTGTTGTTTAAGTGTTCCCTTTATTTTTTTGAGCAGTGTATATTACAATCAGTAAGGTGTTCATAAGGGTTCACATTTCAGATTTGCATAGTTTATACTATTTTCTCTGAAATGATGAATGAGGTTCTGTTTTTGTAAATGTTGAATGGTTTTGTGTGTGTTTCTGTCTGTCTGTCTGTCTGTCTGTCTGTCTGTCTGTCTGTCTGTCTGTCTGTCTGTCTGTCTGTCTGTCTGTCTGTCTGTCTGTCTGTCTGTCTGTCTGTCTGTCTGTCTGTCTGTCTGTCTGTCTGTCTGTCTGTGTGTGTGTGTCTGTGTGTGTGTGTGTGTGTGTGTCTCTCGACATGTCAGTGTCAGTGCCAGTTAAGACCAAGGCCTGTGTTATGTTTGTGAAGGCCTTATGAGTGCTGGGTGGAGTGGCATGTTTATGAGACAGCTTCCCTGTTTGACGTGGGCTGAATTGCACGGAGGCTGACATAAAAGTGCACAGAGGAATCTCTCTATCTCTCACAGCTCTACAGCTTTACAACCACATCTATTTCCTCCTGACTGCCAGACTGGCATCCCGAGGAGGGTTGGGATCAAACACCATGCCAGTTATACAACACCTGATACGCTCCATTGATTTAGCAAAGCTTAGCTTTTAGAGCTGATTTCCCAGACAGAGTAGACCTAGTCCTAGACTAAAAAGCACTAGTCCTAGACTAGAAAGATGATCCATTTTGCATGTTTTTTAGTCCAGAACTAGGCTTAATCTGTATCTGGGAAACCAGCCCTTAGTTTTCACCGTGGCCGGTCCGCCATCCACTTTAGTAATTGGTCTCCCTTTTGTGTGATGGAATGGTTGAAAACCACTCAATAGATTCAGTTTAAGCCCTACACTCTTAGATAAAAGGGTTCCAAAATAGTTAGTCAGCTGTCCCCATAGGAAAACCCTTTTTGGTTCCAGGTAGAACTATTTTGGGTTCTATGTAGAACCCTTTGTGGAAAGGGTTCTACATGGAACTCAAAATGGTTCTACCTGGTACCAAAAAGGGTCCTTCAAAGGCTTCTCCTATGGGGACAGCCAAAGAACCCTTTTTGTTCTAGATAGCACGTTGACTTTGAGGTACTGCTTCATTCTCTCTCGCCTCCCATCCCTCTCTTTCTCTCTACAGTACAAACAAGTGGAGCAGTATATGTCCTTCCACAAGCTGCCATCCGACTTCCGACAGAAAATCCATGACTATTATGAACACCGGTACCAGGGGAAGATGTTTGATGAAGACAGCATCCTGGAGGAGCTGAACGAACCACTCAGAGAGGTGGGTCTCTGAGTTCCTGCCTAGACATGCAAGCCATGAACACACACACACAACCATTTAAAAACATTTGAAGAGTTTCATTGGTAAATTAGCTTTTATTGTTGAATGAAATTATGAAAGAGATTGGTGTGTTTTTTCACTATCTAATTATGGCATGGTTTAAATCCATCACTTGATGGTTTCATTTCAGAGAGACATATAATCATGTTTTTTTGCAAAATGCTACATATCCGCCTCACTCTAAGAAAAATAAGTAGTGCGGCTAGGTTTACACAGTCAAATGTACAAATAACTACACTTTTTATAAATAAATTATACATTTGTGACATCAATATAAAAATGTGTGTATATATATATATATATATATATATATATGGTTGAGAGAATGCCAAGTGTGTGCAAAGCTGTCATCAAGGCAAACGGTGGCTATTTGAAGAATCTCAAATATAAGAAATATTATGATTTGTTTAACACTTTTTTGGTTACTACATGATTCCATATTTGTTATTTTATAGTTTTGATGTCTTCACTATTATTCTACAATGTAAAACATAGTAAAAAAAAAAACTTGAATGAGTTGGCGTGTCCAAACTTTTGACTGGTAGTGTATATACACTACCGTTCAAAAGTTTGGGGTCATTAAAATAACATCAAATTGATCAGAAATACAGTGTAGACATTGTTAATGTTGTAAATGGCTATTGTAGCTGGAAACAGCTGATTTTTAATGGAATATCTACATAGGCGTACAGAGGCCCATTATCAGCAACCATCAGTCCTGTGTTCCAATGGCACGTTGTGTTTGCTTATTCAAGTTTATCCTTTTATAAGGCTAATTGATCATTAGAAAACCCTTTTGCAATTATGTTAGCACAGCTGAAAACTGTTGTGCTGATTAAAGAAGCAATAAAACTGGCCTTCTTGAGACTAGTTGAGTATCTGGAGCATCAGCAATTGTGAGTTTGATTACAGAATCAAAATGGCCAGAAACAAAGAACTTTCTTCTGAAACTCGTCAGTTATTTCTTGTTCTGAGAAATGAAAGCTATTCCATGCGAGAAATTGCCAAGAAACTGAAGATCTCGTACAACGCTGTGTACTACTCCCTTCACAGAACAGCGCAAACTGGCTCTAACCAGAATAGAAAGAGGAGTGGGAGGCCCCGGTGCACAACTGAGCAAGAGGACAAATAGTTTGAGAAACAGACGCCTCACAGGTCCTCAACTGGCAGCTTCATTAAATAGTACCCGCAAAACACCAGTCTCAACGTCAACATTGAAGAGGCGACTCCGGGATGCTGACCTTCTAGGCAGAGTTGCAAAGAAAAAGCCATATCTCAGATTGGCCAATAAAAATAAAATATTAAGATGGGCAAAAGAACACAGACACTGGACAGAGGAAGATTGGAAAAAAGTGTTATGGACAGACGAATCGAAGTTTGAGGTGTTCGGATCACAAAGAAGAACATTTGTGAGATGCAGACCAAATGAAAAGATGCTGGAGGAGTGCTTGATGCCATCTGTCAAGCATGGTGGAGGCAATGTGATGGTCTGGGGGTGCTTTGGTGGTGGTAAAGTGGGAGATTTGTACATGGTAAAAGGGATCTTGAAGAAGGAAGGCTATCACTCCATTTTGCAACACCATGCCATACCCTGTGGATGGTGCTTGATTGGAGCCAATTTCCTCCTACAACAGGAATGAAATAACTATTTAGGGAAGAAGCAGTCAGCTGGTATTCTGTCTATAATGGAGTGGCCAGCACAGTCACCGGATCTCAACCCTATTGAGCTGTTGTGGGAGCAGCTTGACCGTATGGTACATAAGAAGTGCCCATCAAGCCAATCCAACTTGTGGGAGGTACTTCAGGAAGCATGGGGTGAAATCTCTTCAGATTACCTCAACAAATTGACAACTAGAATGCCAAAGGTCTGCAAGGCTGTAATTGCTGCAAATGGAGGATTCTTTGACAAAAGCAAAGTTTGAAGGACACAATTATTATTTAAATTAAAAATCATTACTTCTAACCTTGTCAATGACTACATTTCCTATGCATTTTGCTACATTTCCTATTCAAACTCATTTAATTTATGTTTTCATGGAAAACAAGGACATTTCTAAGTGAACCTAAACTTTTGAACGGTAGTGTATATAATTCAATACAAATCACATTTTATTGGTCGTGTACACATATTTAGCAGATAAATTTGGGTATAGCTATATCGCGGGTATAGCTAAATGCTTATGTTCCTAGCTCCAACAGTGCAATAATACCTGACAATACAAAACAAAACACACAAATCCCCAAAATTCAAAGAAAGGAATTAAGAAATATAGAAATGTTACAACGTTATTAGAAATACAGTAATATGAGATTTGTATGTAAAACATTTACCTTTGACATTTTAGTCATTTAGCAGATTCTCTTATAGTAAGTGCATTCATACACAGGTCAAATATACAGGATACGAACATTCCATTCCAGCTAAACAATGGTATAGCATTTAGCAAAAAAACATTTTCATACACAAATATATATTAATAAAAAATCTGAGAACAGTAATATTTTACATGCACAAGAAGGTACCCATATGCAATAATTTCTGATGAAAAAACACAAATGTGAATAATTGGTGGATATAGTGTTTTTGAAATAAATTCAATTTACTAACAAACTTTGTCTATCCAATCATCAGGAAATTGTAAATTTCAACTGCCGTAAGCTGGTGGCGTCCATGCCGTTGTTCGCCAACGCAGAGCCCAACTTTGTGACAGCCATGCTGATCATGCTCCGCTTCGAGGTCTTCCAGCCCCGTGATTACATCATCAGAGAGGGCACCATCGGCAAGAAGATGTACTTTATCCAGCACGGAGTCTGTAACGTCATCACCAAGGGAACCCTGGGAATGAAGCTCTCTGATGGCTCCTACTTTGGAGGTATGGGCCTGAACCACAATACACACAGACTTTAATTTAATTCAGCGAACAATTCATATTTATACATAATGAGATCACTGGAGACAGTGTTTTCTGCATTTTGCTTCATATCTTTGTACTCTATTTCCTTGTTGTCAAGTATGTGGTGCTTTGTAGGTATTCATGTGTCCCTCGGCTCTGAAAACTAGCACAACTTTATTGGAAGTGTACCACAATCCCAAACAACTGGTAGTTAAACAGATACTGGGTGGTTTCTACAGTATATTTTACAGATAATTAAATAGAACATTATTATATTGTATCTCTGCAACATTTTGCTCTATCTCTGTGTTTCCTGACCCTGTCTCCCTCTATCAGAGATCTGTTTGCTGACGCGGGGTCGGCGGACTGCCAGTGTCAGAGCGGAGACGTACTGCCGTCTATACTCCCTGTCTGTGGACAACTTTAATGAGGTCCTGGAGGAGTACCCCATGATGAGACGGGCATTTGAGACCGTGGCTATCGACCGACTTGACCGCATAGGTACTGAAGAGAGCTCTGGGCCCTGTCATTTATTTATTTTTACCCATCCACCCCCCCCCCCCCCCCCCTTCGGAGGACACATATATATTTTTTTTTTTTTTTTTTACAGCTTTTCTGCTACATATGCAGGGGCAGTGGGGAGAACAAGTATTTGATACACTGCCGATTTTGCAGGTTTTCCTACTTACAAAGCATGTAGAGGTCTATCATTTTTATCATAGGTACACTTCAACTGTGAGAGACGGAATCTAAAAAAAAATCCAGAAAATCACATTGTATGATTTTTAAGTAATTAATTTGTATTTTATTGCATGACATAAGTATTTGATACATCAGAAAAGCAGAACTTAATATTTGGTACAGAAACCTTTGTTTGCAATTACAGAGATCATACGTTTCCTGTAGGTCTTGACCAGGTTTGCACACACTGCAGCAGGGATTTTGACCCACTCCTCCATACAGACCTTCTCCAGATCCTTCAGGTTTCGAGGCTGTCGCTGGGCAAATACGGACTTTCAGCTCCCTCCAAAGATTTTCTATTGGGTTCAGGTCTGGAGACTGGCTAGGCCACTCCAGGACCTTGAGATGCTTCTTACGGAGCCACTCCTTAGTTGCCCTGGCTGTGTGTTTCGGGTCGTTGTCATGCTGGAAGACCCAGCCACGACCCATCTTCAATGCTCTTACTGAGGGAAGGAGGTTGTTGGCCAAGATCTCGCGATACATGGCCCCATCCATCCTCCCCTCAATACGGTGCAGTCGTCCTGTCCCCTTTGCAGAAAAGCATCCCCAAAGAATGATGTTTCCACCTACCATGCTTCACGGTTGGGATGGTGTTCTTGGGGTTGTACTCATCCTTCTTCTTCCTCCAAACACGGCGAGTGGATTTTAGACCAAAAAGCTCTATTTTTGTCTCATCAGACCAAATGACCTTCTCCCATTCCTCCTCTGGATCATCCAGATGGTCATTGGCAAACTTCAGACGGGCCTGGACATGCGATGGCTTGAGCAGGGGGACCTTGCGTGCGCTGCAGGATTTTAATCCATGACGGCGTAGTGTGTTACTAATGGTTTTCTTTGAGACTGTGGTCCCAGCTCTCTTCAGGTCATTGACCAGGTCCTGCCGTGTAGTTCTGGGCTGATCCCTCACCTTCCTCATGATCATTGATGCCCCACGAGGTGAGATCTTGCATGGAGCCCCAGACCGAGGGTGATTGACCATCATCTTGAACTTCTTCCATTTTGTAATAGTTGCACCAACAGTTGTTGCCTTCTCACCAAGCTGCTTGCCATTTGTCCTGTAGCCCATCCCAGCCTTGTGCAGGTCTACAATTGTATCCCTGATGTCCTTACACAGCTCTCTGGTCTTGGCCATTGTGGAGAGGTTGGAGTCTGTTTGATTGAGTGTGTGGACAGGTGTCTTTTATACAGGTAACGAGTTCAAACAGGTGCAGTTAACACAGGTAATGAGTGGAGAACAGGAGGGCTTCTTAAAGAAAAACTAACAGGTCTGTGAGAGCCGGAATTCTTACTGGTTGGTAGGTGATCAAATACTTATGTCATGCAATAACATGCTAATTAATTACTTAAAAATCATACAATGTGATTTTCTGGATTTTTGTTTTAGATTCCGTCTCTCACAGTTGAAGTGTACCTATGATAAAAATGACAGACCTCTACATGCTTTGTAAGTAGGAAAACCTGCAAAATCGGCAGTGTATCAAATACTTGTTCTCCCCACTGTATATAGCATTCTGTTGGTGGCAAGAATTTTGTTTAATTTAAATGGAAAAACTTGAAGTGTTGAATCAAGTGTTGTTTTTTGTACCAGTTCATAAACCATGTGCCATGGAATCGGTACATTGAAAATCTCTTCCCATTTATTTTGTAACCTGTATGGCGCAGCTGTCAACTTCATGCTTCACGGTTGGGATTTATCAAGTTGTTGCACCTGTTCAAAGTTTGCACCTGTTATTTTCACAAGTACTTCGGCCGTGACACTTATTGAGAATTCCTCTTCACATCGTACCCTAGTATTAAGTATTGATATCACATAAACACATCTTTATTTTACCTTATGTTCTACCTTTTATGTTGGACTCCCTCTTAGAAATAGCAGATGCAAACTTATCTATGAAAAATAACTCTAGCCCGAGCATTCACCTGAGTTATGGTGTTGCTTCAGCATGCTCTATACAGGACAAAGGAAAGACTCACCCATTTTGAATGTTATTTAGTTTTTGTGCATCTCTGAACGATGTTCATCATATGATGCAAAACTTGTCATACAGGTTGTATTTCTGCCTGCTTAAACGACTATAGCTCAGATACACACGAAAACATTAAATGACCCCGGGAATCGATAGAACATCACTCAGAGATGCATGAAAATGTTATAACATTCAAAATTGATGAATCTTTCTTTTAATTGATGAAGTGACACTGTGACCCTCTTGTTGTCAGTATTTTCCTATAGCATTGCTTCTTGCCAAAACAATATACCTAGTTTGAAGGATAGAAAATACTGTCTGTGTTCCTCCTCCTCCTCCTCCTTGTTCTCCTCTTCCTCTACCTCATCATGTTCTACTTTTCTCCCTCTTCCTCACTCCATCACAGGCAAGAAGAACTCCATTCTGATGCACAAAGTGCAGCATGACCTCAACTCCGGCGTCTTCAACAATCGTGAGAATGAGATGATCCAGGAGATCGTCAAGTACGACCGTGAGATGGTCAAACTGGTGGACCTCCAGAGACCCCGCACCATGTCCATGACTTCCTCCGTCCCTGGGGGTATGTTCTCCCCCGCAGGCCCGTCCGGGGTCGGGGCCCTTGCCAGCCTCCAGCAGGCTGTGGCCATGAGCTTCTGCCCCCAGGGGATGGGGCCGATGGGGGGAATGGGGATGCCGGGGATGGGGCCGATGGGTATGCCGATGGGTATGGGGATGGGGATGGGGTTGGGGGCTGGGCCGATGGGGCCAGGTCCGATGGGGCCGGGGTCAGCGTCTGGGTCAGGGTCAGGGACACTGCAGTCCCCCCGCATGTTGCGGAGGTTCCAGGTGGTCCATAGCCTGTCTCAGAGCCCAGTTTCCGCTCCTCTCCAGTCTCAGCCACCACAGATGGCTCATGCAACAGGGGTGTTTGGGTCGGCTATTTCCAGCCCACCAGTCCAGAGCCCTCTGGCTCATCCGGGACGGACATTCCAGTACATGGGGGGAGCGGGGCCGTCTGGGTCTCAGCTGTCCCTGGTGCAGCACCACGTTCCCAGCCCCACGCACACCATCCAGAGGCCCTCCTCACACAAGAGCACCCACTCGCTCCACTCAGGAACCCTGAGCCAGGATGCCCGTGGCCTCTCTGCCTCCCAGCTCTCCCTCCCTCAGGATGGAACCCCTCCTGCCGCCCCCAGCCCTCCCCAATCTACCCACCCATCCACCCACGCCTCATCCACCTCCATCGGCCCCCCTCAGCCCACTCACCCCAGCCAGCCGGGGCCCTCCGGGGTGGGGGTCCAGGTTGGGGGGAGACCCGCGGGAGCTCCACAGCGGGTGGCCTTCGCCTCCACTCCTCCCCCAGGAGGAGCACCCGGGATGGGGGCGGCTGCAGCGGCGGCTGGGTCGGGGCTCCCGGCCTCTGGAGCTCCTAAGAAGGATTCGATCGTTAGCATACCGGAGTTAGACTTGGCCCGGAAACGGCTGTCTTCCAACTTGTGACCCTATGAGAGCTGCAGGAGAGAGGCCTTCTTCACGTGGGTGAATCTAAACGTCTGTTTATCTCTGTCTGGATGACCTGACTGGTCGTCTTCCTTACTGACCGGGCTGGCTTCATACGGGCCACACCGTCAGTCATTCTAACTCTAACTGTTGGAGTCAACGAAGAGGAAAGAGGAACTCTTTGACTCGTGTGACTTGGAGAGTCGAAACAATTAAACTAGTTTAACAAAGGTGGGTCTGGACTATTCTACTATGCCAGCACCTTTAGTCTTAGTATCACCCCTTACACTCTGCTTCCAAACACCTATATTGCTGTCTTTATTGTAAAGATATTCAGAAAAAACGTAATTAATGTAACTGTTGCATACTGTGTAGAATCCATTCAATGCAATCTAGCAGGAGCTGGACTTAAAAACGAAAAATCAGGGACTTGAATCAAATGACAATGATGACATTTTACGCTTTCAGAATGTGTTTTTGGGTGTCCTTTTTTCTGTATACGCTGTTGTAGCAAGATAAATACATTGCTCTTCATATTGTTTAAAATAGTAGTGAAAATAGTGTTTTAGACTGCTGGTCGATCTTACATCGATGTGTAAATAGTTAAGATAGTTAAAAAATATACAGAAAGATAATATCTTCATTGTAACTACGCCAAACCAAAGTTGAGCTTGAACACAAAGTTTGGTTGTGTCTGTATCAACTAAAAAAGACATATAGAAGAAAATGCCATTTATTCAACTGCCTTGATTCCAAGTTTAGAAGCCATATATTTGGTTTGTGTGTGTGTGTGTGTGTGTGTGTGTATGTGTGTGTGCGTGAGTTGGTATGCATGTTTTTGGTTCCATTCTGTTTTTCCAAGAGAGCTGACTTCTGTACTCTGTATCTTTACACTGCATTGTCAGGCCCGGTTGGTTGGATTTGCTGGCAATGGCACAGGCAATATTTCCCAGCTTCTCTGTCCAACTAAATGTGTCTGGAAAGATATCTACTTGTCATGTCAGCAGAAATATACTGATCGTGACCCTGGAGGCAAAAATGGTGGTAAATCACCTGAGCTTTATCAAAAAGAACCATCGCAAACAACCCATAATGTATACTTGCTTGTTTTCGTCCAGGTTTATTGATTAATACATGCAATATAATTCTGCAATACTCTTACCCCGCCTATATATTTAAATATATATATAAAATGTATATACATATGCTGTACAGATAACTAATTTCTTTATTTTTACTGTGAAACCTTAAAGAATCCAGCAGCTGCCGTGGCTTCACTTGTTGTGTTAGTGTAATCCAGTGATCATGTTGTTATCTTAACCAAAAATGTCAGAGGAAGTGAGTGGATGTAATTATTTTGTGGATCAAATGAGGCAAACTGGTTTCAAACCGGTTCAGGGTCACCTGAGGATTCCGGAATGGAGTTATGGAAATCAACTCCCCCCAAACTGTCACTTTAAAGTCCATTTTAAGTAATATTGTACGTTGTAAAGCAAGACTAACTCATTGACAGAATGCATGCCAATGGGAAATGTTGTGGGGCAGAAGAGGCGGAAAGTATTTCTTCACCTGTGTGTGTTTGGTGTTGTATGTATATTGAGCAAGTGATGCAGCTCCTTCAAATCCCAAACTCTACGAATGTCTGTACGAAAATAATTTATTCTTCAGTAATCCTATTTAGTTATCAAAATTCATGGTTGTGGTGGGTTGTGACATTGATTCTAAATATTCTAATGATTCTAATCCTGGTGTACTTCAAAGCCTTCTCTTGCTGAATGTATGCCATATGAGGGGGAAGACAGCTAATCAGAAAAAAACTGCCATGTAAATACAAGGACCGAAATTATTCTGGGTGATGATGCGAAGGGAGATTGTGTCGCTGAATGTTTGTGCTTTTGTTTCTTAGGTTTGTTGCTTCTCTGGTTTGGGTGTGTTCTGTATGTAAACTGTGTGTTACCCTGTTCTCTGTTTTATGACAAGACAAATACACTTTTTTAAATGAATGGATGTAGGATAGAGAATTGAAACCATTTTCAGTTTGTCACTGAGAACTAACTCTTTGGTTCAAAGTAACACAGCAAAGTTGAGCTCAGCATTAAGCACATTATGTCACATTATTACCTTTTAAGCAAAGGGGAAATCACTGCTTCAGTCTTTTACAATGGTCACATCTGGTTAACCTAATAATGTCTGTGGAGAAATCTGGGAGACAATTGGCAGCTGACTCGATGTACCATTTCTGACTTTTGAAGCTTTGAACTTTCATGATGATGGACATTTCACTCAGGGTTGCTACCTTTCCGGAAAGATATACAGATATGCTATCTTAATTTGATCACTCTGTTGTCACAGAGAATATTCCTGTGCAGCAGGAAATGCAAATTGTAGTGTATTCAAGGTTTAAAAAGACTTCAAAAGTTTGTAATTTCCACTTTAAAATTTCAGACATGATTTGCCCTAACAAAAAATCTATTAATTATAATACACATAAAAATTCACATTTCCTGTTGCTGAAGGATTATTTTCCTGCTGTGAGAAGTAGGCTCAAATTAAGATAGCACATCTGTATTGTTTTATTGATCCATTATTGGTTTTACTATTGATTTGACGTAGGTACAGTTAGTGGCTTTATGTTCTCGATTTCATTTTGCATGAAGTTGCCCCTGAATTCTGATTAATTTAACAAAACATAATTCATAAGTTATAAATTGTAATAGATTTTAGGTCCTGACAAAAAAACTACATTATTATTATGCACAAGTCTATCACTCATATTCTAAGTCACATATCAAAACCTAATACTTTGAGACTATCGTTTTTTAACTGTCACATCAGATCATAGTCCCCAACATATTACTATAATGTTTTGTTTGTTTTCTTCCATGGGAAAGGGAAAGGTGCATGCTAAAATGCCAATACAATTATGAATGAGTTAAGTCCAAATGAGTGAATACCAGTTGTGTGCTTCAATGCTGTTTCATTGCAAACAATTGGTCCTCTTACCTATTCCTTGTATGTGTTAATACCTGAGTTTGCCCTATTAAGCTGCTATAAGGACTGTGCTGATATTATTTATAAAGATTTGAATGATTGTCCACAGTCAGTGAAAGAGAGAGGGACAGAGAGAGAGAAGAAACACTGCTATGTTCAGGCAATATCATCTCTGATTCATTGCAAGAGTTCCCATGCATCCAGCATGACTCTTGATCAATGAATGACACCTCAGTGAATTTGACAACCTTTTTCTTGAATCCCTGGCATCTGTTATGCATAAGACAGTATTATGCAGGTTTTAAGATGGAGTATTCAAGTAAAGTGTTACTGTTAATTTACTGTTACTTTTGTCTCCATGAAAAAGAGACTCCCCAAACAAGAGTGAGATTCCCCAAACATGCTTGAAACCAACCAACGATTATTGAGAGACGGTTATCTTGTTTTAAAATCTCTAATTTTTGCCGTACCAGATATGAAAGATATTAAGGGTACTGAATACCTTGATGTTGATGTCTTAGCATATCAGTGTATTTTCTGTTTCTGTTTCGAGAAGTATTTTTTGTTTGTTTGTTTTGTTGTTGTTGTTGTTGTTGTTTTTGTTTACAGTTTGCCACAATGCACATGGACAGCATATACTGTACATTGTGCCTAGTATATCTAGTTTCCACATAGTCTATTTTTGTGGTATGTACGTGGCTGTAGAATTGGTTTGATTTTCAGCTTGCAGTATATGTACAAATGTTAGCTAAAGACTAGTACTGCTTAATTAACATGACAATGTCAGTATATATCATTTTCCCTGCTTTGGGAAACACTAAATTGCACATTGTTGTTGGTTTGAGCCTTCAAACACCATGGGCACTGTACTCTACTCATCTACTGTATGTGTGACATACACAGAGTTGTGGGGGCACATTGTCGCATTTTTACCACAATCTGGTGTTTTCTACAATGAGAGGGTGAACTCAAAACAGGCTTTTTCGTGGAGTTTACACAGTCTAGATATCACCTCAGACAACAAACAGTGTTGTGGACAACTGAACTGAACTCTAATCAAGAATCATTCAATTGAAAATGGACCCCCAAAACTGTTAATCTGAAGACCAGGGGAGCAGTAGCAGTGCCAAGCTTGATTCCTGGTTCTCATATCTGTCTGTTTGACAAACCAATGTATTTGCTTCTGACCTAGAGGAGACGTTTGGTTGATAATTCCTTGTGGGACCTTCAAATCTAGACATTGCTGTGTAACCAACTACAATGATTTAAAATGTCAACTAGTCTGACAATTATTATACCTTAGTGTTGTAGCTGCTGTAGCCTGCTTATCTAAGCCTTCTCTCTGCTTCAGGACTCTCTGTATAGTGTGTGTGTGTGTGTGTGGGTGTGTGTGTGTGTGTGTGTGTGTGTACCTGTGCCTTTCCTTCTACATTGTTGGTCCCACTTGAGAACACCAAGCTAGGTCTTCAGGCCGACTCAAGCAGAAACAGACATAATTCTAATCTGAGAGCTGCCATCTGAAAAAAGCAGTTTATTTTGGAATCTTTTGACAAAAGAGATTTTACCGCACTGTAGCTAGTGTTCCTAACAGTGGCTCCAGTACAAAGGTTCTCAGAACTCAGTAGAATTCTGTATTCCAGTCACTGTGGGTTTATCCTCTTGGCAATGAAAAAAAATAAAAAGATGTCACTCGGTGTTTGTCGCCCCTATTGAGGTTGTCTTAGAGCCCCTCAGGCTCAGCTTGTGTTTGGGTCTGTAAGGGTTAAAGTACTTTAACGCTCCACTGAACTCCATACTGTACTCTGTCTGAGCAGATATCTAGCTGTCCAACCCCAAACTGAACCATAACCCCTACTCCTAAGTACTTCACATATACTGACTATGCAAGGAGTGGATAGGTGTACTCAATATGGTAATAGCTCCACCTTGCCCTTTGATAGGCTTGCTGGAACTTCCACCACAATACTTCCACCTACCCAATCCTTTCAGATGAACATAAGTGCATAGGG